TTCCCGAAAAAGCTTTCAGAATATAGCCATTATTATTGTTATTACTATTATTATTATTATTATTATCATTATTATTTATTAATTAAACCATTAAGACGCTGAAATGTTCCATTAGCGTTGGTATAGACGTAGTGCTATTGTATCTCTTTAAATATGGTGGCCCAGATGTTCCATTATCACTACTAAAAATATTTTCTGTTTTTAAAATCCTTCGCATACCATGATATTCGGAAAACATCGTTAATCCTACCGAGATCCGATTCAAAAATATTAGCTAGTAACTATGCGCAAATAAGTATCAAATCTTTAGTCTCTATAATAATGGAGAAAGTTATTAGGGAAAGCACTTTCCACCACACGCTTAGTTAAAACATTATCACATCGAGTCAGCATGGTTTCCTGAAATCGAAATCCTGCAAAACTTGTCATCTGGATTTCTTTAACTTTGCAACTACTATGCATGATCGACATCAATTATTCCTTGTACTTTATCTAGATAGTTCCAAGGTATTTGACAGAGATGACCATCTATTGTTAATAAGTTGCAGTCTGTAGGGCTTGACTACCCATTATTAGGATGGATTAAATCTTTCCACAAATCTAGAATCTTACTCGAATGCATTATCCGTAACTTATACTTCAAAGATGCCAAGTTACTACCCTATAAAACTTGTATATGTTCTCTACTAGAATACTGTCCGTTTATTTTGAGTGGTATACGCGTTCACAACAAACTAAAAATAGAGGGTGTCCAAAGATAGTTTACATCTAGGTTGCTAGAATACGAGTGCAAGCAGGACTACAAGTTTCGATGCATGACTCTAAGTTTACAACCACTTTGGATGGGATGACTCAAAATCAACTTCACGCTTTTCTTCAATGTGCTTAACAAATTAACCTATACAGTCAGTGGTGAGTTTCAGCTAGAACACAAGAGTTATTATGGCCTGTGCAACCACGCCTATAGCGTCATACTAAAGCCTTTTCAATTCTTTCTTCGTCTGAATTTTTCCACCGTTAGGTTCACTCAGATATGGAACAAACTTTCTATTGAAGCTAAGGCCTCTAAATCAACTCCTAAATTTATTCGGTTAATAGGTAAATTCTTATCCTCTGTTAGCTTCATATAATTCGTGAGTCCATAATCGTTATCCTATATGATACGAAATATACCATGCCCTCCAATGTCTGATGAACTATCTACCACACCTAATTTGGATGACAATCGGAACATTCTGCTCTACCCGACATAGTAAACAACAAAAAAAGTTTTTATGATAGCATGAAATTTCTGTTCTCAGGTGTTTAACGGAGAAAGCACGTACCTCAGTCAACATTTACTTTGGGCAAAACAAGGGGCATGTTGCAGACTGCAATGAAAACATGGGGCAAAACGCAGATTTTGCAGCATTTCCCCGAGTTTTTAACCCCCATGTTCTCCGCATTTTGTCCTGCACTTTTTATTTGACTGAGTACAACTAACCCAGTCAACATTTTTGTGGGTGAACTCAGAGCAAAACGCAAGGCTATTTTTCAAACACACAAGGCAAATTGTTGGGAAACGTGGGGCATTTCTCAGTGAATGAAAAGTGCGGGGCAAAACATGGGGAACACGAGACAAAACTCCGTGCCATGCAATTTGTCGTTTTAAGAGCTATACTGCTTACTATTTGTCAGTAGTCTAAACTTTGAAGTGGATACTTTTCACAATTTTTTGCAGCTGCGGATACGATTTTAGCCCAACTTAAAGAAGCCCTTATTTTGTGTTCTATTTAACAGTATTTCATTCCATCATACACTGAATGTAGATTGTCTTCCAAATGCAAGTTTTTTTCACAACTATATAGCTTTCAAGTTAGACAATGAAGCCATATACACCCCTTTTTGTTTTTGTAAATGGCAGCCACTGGTGCTTAATTACTTTCAAACAACTCTCTTTGTTCCAGTGATGTGGATCTCGTAACTTCATAATTTCTGTAAGATTTGAAATGGATTTCAGTGAAATACTTTCAACAAGCGTTGCTTGTAAAGGTCTGTTATATACTGATACAACTCTTACATGAATGTACTTTAAGTTACGGGAGTGTCTCCCTCATAGAAGTATAGTTTTTGTTGAAGTAGGAAAGTGGAGGATGACATTGTTGAGGAAGTTTTGCATTCAAAGCAGGGAGTGATTTCGGAAGGGGTTTTGCTAGCTCCAATTGGGGACAAGCCACACAAGTTTGCCAAGTATTTTGAGAAACCCAAGTCAGAATCTGCTACGGATTGTATTATGCCCTAACATTTCTTATCGTAACTCACATTTAATGTGTTACAGAAGAGGACGCAGCTAAGTACACTCTCGATAACACTGAAGCTGATGTCCCGCATATGCAGATGGAGGTCAACCGCGAAGATACGTTGTACTAGCATAACCTAATGAAAATTAAGCAGGTGCAACCAGTCAGAGTGACAGGGAAAATACATTTAACGACGATATTTCCAGTGCAATGCTGAGATATGTCTTATGTAAGACACATCACTTGAAGCTCGGAAGAGAATACTACAGACTATACACCGAACCGTGCTGGAAATGCAAACAGACCCTCGAACAATTTTGGACCAGCACCCAAAAACTCCCCAGTCACCACTTTCGCGGGGCAAAACATGGGGTCATGTTGCAGAATACTATGAAAACATGGCGCAAAACGCGGAATTGCACAATACTCCCCCGAGTTTTTAACCCTTATGTTTTGCCCTGCGTTTCCCCTCGGAGTTCCCCATTGTTTTTCCGAATTTCCCCTCCAAATGCCCTTCGTTTCTTCGGATTAACCGTTCGTCTTATTTCATTTAGCTCGGTGAGTTTGCTGCTCTAGCACCACTTTAGTTCTTTTTGGTCCTCCAGATCGTTACTCTCAAAGGGCTACTTGCTTACATCAACTAATGTATTCATTCTCTCCAACGTAGGCACAGCTATCATTGAACAATTGCATGTCCGTCAATAAGCCATACCCTACATAAATACATAGGTACTACTGATGCCGGAAAGTGAAATTTCATGCCAATTAAACATTTATTACAAAACTTAAAAAAATTTACAAGTTTTTTACAACTAGGGTTGTGTCATTTCTTCAGAACTGCTTCTTTCGATGACGTTAGACATCTAAATATGAGGAGATTTACTCTCTTTCTGTTCTCCGCTCTAAAAGTGAGTGCCGTTCTGTTAATAACCTGAGCCTAATTTGCTCGGCAGTCGTCTCCTCATTCTTTCACCTTCCTAGTTTCTTAGGTTGTGGAACCTATCTTTCATACATTTTCCGTAAATGCTACCGAGGTTGCTAGCACCTTCGGCTTGCGTCATTTGGAAATTCCTAATAGCTCCTGAGAAATGAAAACAGTATCTGCCAGTAACAGCCTACTTCAAACAGTCAGTTCGATCCGTATGTGTTTTATGACTTTCTTGTCACGGACATGCGTACTGCTCAGAAGTCCTGCACTAGGACGAAACAACTGTCCAGTGCTCCCAGATTTTCAATGGTTCTCCAACTGATGTCAGTCCATGATGAATACTACTTAGTAATTTAACATAAAAGAAGCTAGTTTACAGGCGCCATCACGTTGATATATGTTGGAAAATCTACAAAATTTTACGAGTCCTGAATGGTACGGTGGGTATGTCGGTAAACTCTATCGAAAACATCAGAAAGTCCTCCTAGCTGTGATACAAACAAGAAAAAACCACTTTTCAGCCTATACGGAGTGTTAAAGTTTAGATAGTAATAATTCTTATTCTTATATGATGGATTTGGCATGAGAGATACCAGTTTACAAGCATCACCAAATTGATAATTATTGATAGTCTACAAAATAGTATTTAGTAGTAAGGGACTCACTTGTCCAGTTATTGATGTGCAAAACCTTATTAAAACTTCCCGCAATCCATGAGACGGGCATGGATTTTCACCTACCACCACAGAGACAGGTTCCACTATTGTGAACGAAAGCGACTTATGCTCGAAGTTTGCGTTACAACCAGCAGACGTTACTAGTCCGTTTGCATGGTTTGCTATTTATTAACATAACCATCTATTCATAATCCACACGTCATTCATTGATTGTATTTGCTTTGAATGAGGCTTATCGTTAATGCCCCACTTTTCTATTGTATGATGCTGGAACATTGATAACATAGCACTATTTTACTGTTTCTGACATTTTCTTTGGCTCAACTCAGGGTCACGCTGCGAGATGACTGCTCGTCTTTTGACTGCTTAGTGGGAACATCTATTGACCTATTTGATTCTTGTGGACAGAGCTTTGATCCCATTTTTCAGGAATATTCCCGTCAATTCTCGGGTTTTTAACGGTTGTATTTGGTTATACAGTTATCTGGCTGTGTGGCACGTATTCCTAGCCAGAGAAATTTTTGGACTATACGTTTATCAGCGACATTGTTGGGGTACTCTTCCAATTTTGATATAATTTATTACTGTTTAATAATATCACAAATTTACCACAAATCTATCACAGATTTATCGCATCAAACAGTTTTCTGATATTGTTGGAACCAAACCAATGACTGTGCGGGACTCAAAGAAGCTAGAGAAAACCTACAGAAGTACACCGTTACTAGTTTGGATCGTGTTAGCTTGGTTCCTTTGGGTTGTTTCTTGCGTTCAGACCAACACACAAGACACCATTTTAATTTACTAGAAGTCTTTACTTTTCAGGTACCTGAAACCTGTGGTTAGGACGAGTGAATATGTCCAAATTACACTCGGGTCACCAGTTGGCAGCTGGCTGGCTTTTATTCCTGAATGGCTGAGCAGCTCATACCGGCTTATCGTCTGCACCCAGTTAGAAAACGTTCTGGGTGCAACTGGAAATTTCTGGGCAGAAATGGCGGAAGAACTTTAGGGGCTACTGTTGGCAACGCATAATTGTTCCGGAAACTGTTGAAAAGCCTCCTCGAAATTGTCAGACTGCTCCTACCGCTTAGCTGAAAAGTTCCGGCGCTTCCAATGTCCGCCCGAATTTTCAATCCAAAATTTTCAGTAACTCCTAGCCTACCCAAACCTTTTAGTCAACGTTTAGCCTCAATCGTAAACATCCAGAATTTCACACTGATGTCTCAAGCACTCAAAACCTCTGATATGACAGTTAGTGACATAAGCGAAAACAATTTACTTAATATGCTTTTGCGAGCATTTGTGCCAACACTTTTCGTTGGCGTCTTTCCGGGAGTTCGCATAGTTCTTCTGCGGCTGCATATGATTTATGGGGAAGCAGTGATAGGCAGAGCCTGTGTTAAAGTTTGAGAACGCAAAGTCAGAAGGAAGAGGAGTGGATAATATCATAGGACGAAGTGGAGTATAGTAATTCTTTTTGTAAGAGACGGTAACCGGAGGGGATGCCCATAGCGAAGTATGAATTTGAGCGGAGTTCACAGTGATAGTGGTGTTACAAAGTATTAGGTAACGCTTGACCATACGAGCTAGTAGGTGGTGTCGGCCTAGTCCACATCCCGGTTGGATAAGCGCAAACCGCGCGTCGTTGTGTAACTGTCTAATGTCTTCTTGAAGCTGTCAACAGACGGGGCAGCAGCAGTCTTGGTAGTCAGTGAGTTCCAGTGGCCGCAACTCTCAGAGGGAAGAGGCGTGACGGCACATGGGCATTTGCTCTTTGGTGGATGATTCCCCCTAGATTACCACGAGGATTGCCACAGTCGCCGTTCGGTAGGATTCAACCGTTCGTATGACTTGGATTACCTAATATTTTACAAGTTGTTACCAAGTCACTACCTAGTCTATGGTAGCTAAGACAGTACAGCCATAGGTGTTTCAGACCATCCTCATAGGGCTTTAGCCCCGTTCCCACAACATATTTCGGCACTCACTTCTGGACTTTTTCCAGGGGGTTCACATCCCTTTCCAGGTATGGTGGTGCAATGACGTCGTGTACCTGTAGGTAGGGGTGCATAACGGCCTTTTACAGTTTCAAAAAGGGTTCCGGGGTCGGGACACCTAGTTGTCCGTGCGCAAAGTGTGGTACTGCTTAGGCTCTGGAGGCATTTTCGGGATAATTGGGGTTAGTGTCTAGTTTGCCAGTCTGTATTAGTCCTGGGTTTTTCTCCGTGGTGGTGGTGTGGGAAAGTTGTGTTCCACAGAGGAGCAGGGTACTTTCTGAGACTCAGGGGTGTTGAGAAACCTAGTTCAGCACTTATCCGGATTAAACGCTAGTATGTTATTATCCGACCACTCAGCAAGTAATCTGAGGTCACTTTGCAGTGGGCTTGATTCTGCTTCGGGTGTCGCAGCTCTCCATCACTTAACCTCGGCAGCTGTGATTCAGTGGGAGGTCATTCACAAAAAGAAGGATTGGCAACGGACCCAGAATCGCTTCTTGTGATACGCCAGATGATGATGTCCTCCAAGTCGAGCAAACTCTGTCGGCTGTCGTACAGAATCGTCTGCCGTCTAAATAGCCCCGTAACCAGGAGCGCACCCAACCCTTGATACTCGACCTCGAAAGTTTGTGTATGAAAATGGCGTGTGGTACTGTGTCAAAGGCCTTAGCAAAATCCAGGGAGATGACATGGACGGGGATGTTTTCGGAGGTAGGCCTCTTGATGATATCTTCAACTAGTTCCCGAAGTTGATCAATCGACAGGTTGCTCCACTCCTGATGCCATGGTGCTGTCGATGGGTATCGGTTCATGGGTACGTAGTTTGCCCTGCTGTGGCAATGACAGGGGCGCGAGCCCTCCCATGACAGTTGTTCGTTGAGTACCAGATCGAAGACAACCACGCCGTGATCGCTGATGCCGAGGGGGTTTGAACCTGAACGTTTTCAGCCAGCAGCTGGTCACTGGCCAAAACTTAGTCCTGTTCAAACGGCCTCCTGCCTGACCCCAGCGAGCGTCATCACCAATATGCTCGTGCGGTCCAGCTTTTTTCACAGTGTTAAGCGGGTTTCGGTTGAACCTCCGGCCTGAGGTTCCCCTGTCCTTCCCAAGATTGAGAGTCGGAGTATTAAAGTCGCCGGCTATAATGGCTCCGTCGTATCCAATGGACGTCGCTCCGGACATTACTTGCGTCAGTCGCCGATTATGTTCCATGCTGCTAGTAGGAGCTCTGTAGACGCCTCCTGCCAGGTACTTGGTGTATCCGACCGTAAAGTGACACCAGGTGGAGTCTGGGAGTCCTAAAAGCAGTTTCAGTTGCTCGTTCACTTTTAGATGCCACTTATGAGCATCACCACTCTGCCTCCTTCCTTAAACTCCCCGTCTCCCCTAAACAGATGCATACCGTCTATATTAGTTTCGATATCACTAATATCCGGTGACAACCAAGTTTCTGTTAGGATTATTATCGTTGAAGCAAGGTAGGGACAGAGAAACTGTAATTCCCCCATCTCACTTCTAAGTCCCACTTCATTACTGTAAAGATACTTCGATATGTTGCTAGCGACATGGGGTGTCTTGGTGGTGGCAGACTGAAGGGGGTCGTGCTTGGTGGCGAAACTTGCTATAGGACTCCCAGCTCCAGTGGAACTGAATGTACTCCCAGTTTAAACTGACAAGAAACATACGTGCGAAGGCGCTGAGAGCCGATCGCAGCGGTATCAAGTCAGGCTCAAAAACATGTTTGTTTCTAACCCCAGATGCTCATTCCGGCAGGTTTAAGCGGGGATGCAAACGGACTGACTAGTAGTGACGCCGAAGCAGCTGAGCACCTGGCCGACCAGTATCCGCAAATCTTTTCGTCATCACCCTTCCAAAATAGTGGAGTCGCTGATGTAGGATGGACTGGGGGATCGCCTCACAAAGATCAACTTCTTTGCACCCCAACAACATAGATTTCGAAAAGAGCATCCCAGCATTTCTAATCTGCTCGCTGCAGCAAATAGATGGACTGGTATTATTGACCGTCGACGTCAAATTGGTGTTATCTACCCAGACCTTCGTAAGCCATTTGATCGTGTTGACCACGACTGTCTTATAGATAAATTGAAACTAATCAAGATTCGACCTCTACTCAGTGACTGGTTGTTTTCGTATCTACGAGGACTTTCATTTAGAGTTCGAGTAAGTTTCTTGATATCTGAAAACACAGAATGTCGAAGCCCAGTTCCCCAAAGTTTATCACTAGGACCTCTCCCTTTTCTAATCTACATAAATGGCTTGCCTCAATAGGTTTCCTCCAAAATCCTTCTTTTTGTCGACGGTGTGAAACTATGGAGAGAAATCAGAGGCGAAAAAGAGAGTTATTCCCTATAGGAAGACTTGACTTACCTCCACAAATGGGCAGTCAACAACGGGCTTGCATTTAATCCGGAGAAGTTCAAGGTGACGCGCGTGAAACACGATGCCTCTCATGCGTACAGCCTCAACGGCATGGAACGTGAAGCGTCATTGATAGAGAGGGAGTTGGGCATACCAGTCCCTCAGGACTTTAAATCCTATGGTAACTGTGACAGAAACGCATTTCGAGGAAACTTGGCGTTGGTAACTCTTAGACGAATTTTTGGACAGTTCGATCGAAGATGCTTCCACCAAATTTCCAACAGCTTCACGCAACCTCACCCGGAGTTCAGGACCATCATCTTTCCCACTTCTCTTCAGAGAGACAAACTAAGCTTAGAACGTAGTCAGAGGCGCTCTACAAAATCTGTTTGAGGACTTAGGTCTAAAACTTACGAATAACGATTTCTTGCGCTGGGTCTGTATCCTATGGAATACGGAAGGCTAAAAGGAGACTTAATGATAACTTACAACATTGTCAGCACGCCTGGTCACCCACTCCGTCACTTATTAAATCTTAGCCGTAGCACTAATCCTAGGGGATACACACAGAAACTAAGCTTGAAACAAGAGACTTTAAACCCTGGAACTGTTTCCCTGCAGATGTGACCCAGACTACCTTGTCTGAATCCTTTGAAAGCTAGTTGGCCGCTTGTTTGATATGCAGTCGGGATCTGCCCTGGACTAACTGAATTTTCATATTTTAACTGCCATGTTTTCCTCTTTCTTTACCTAAACACAGGCCAAAAACCATAAGAAGTAGTGATCCGAGGATTTTAGACGCGGAAGCTCAGTTAAGCGAAAGCTTCTACTTCATCAACAACAATTTCAATTATTTGAACCATTTTGAACCATACCTTCGAAGCTGGCGTTACAACTTCAAGGTCATTTAGCGGCTTTGGGTTTTACCTTCATGTTCAGCAGTTTACCCAATTTTCCGGAGACCTTGTAAGTCCACCCAAATAGTCCAAAGTATCTGCAGTGCACCTAAAGTTTTACAACTAGAGCATTGAGATAGGTAATAAGTCGCATTATACAACGACTGAACATTATATATACATATATATATATATATATATATGAATTCATATAGGTGAAATCTGTAACTGTTTATTGACTTCCTTGGGACTGTGATCTCTTGAAAGAATATTTTTTTTGGAGACATCCTCGAAAGTTCCGAACTGAGCCTGAAGTTGATTTCGGGAATTACCCAAAGATGTCGAAGTGTACCCAAGGTGTTGGCTGGCTAGGTACAGTATAGTATTGAGTGTTGCATAGATAATGAACTACATATTTTAACTGAACTAGGAAAAAACTTGGATGTATCAAGAAACCTGAAAATAAATTCTGTACTACAGTTGCTTTCTGAGCTTTCTACTTAGCGACTTTTAAAAACTTTCGCGGAAAATATTGTGCATCTCCAAAATCTTACGAAAATGCCTGTGCATAAAGTTCCAAAAGTGCACCTTACGGGTTTTCCTACTGCGTATAGAAACGTCGTTATAAGTTCCCCTCACATTTGGGAACTCAATGTTACGTCGGAAAACCAGACCATTCCGTTCAAAATATCTGTAAGTTAAAAGACGCACCCAATTTCTTCACGCAAAACTTCCGAAGTACGCCAAAGCTTTCAAACGTCCAAAAGTGCTCCTGTAATTATCCAACGTGCACCTCAACCTATTGCGTGGAAGTAATGCAGTTAGATGAAGAATCTAGTAAGGCTGACGCTATACTCATTCCATCCTTCTTAGGCCACACTGGGTACACAACATTCATCCTGACATGAATACGGTTACAGTGATGGTAAACGTTTGTAATCCAATTGTTTGTAATGAAAGTCTTACTCTTAACCTTTTTCGCTGAGATTCACTTAAACAGTGCTGAATCTACCAATTTACCCGCAAACTCTTCAATACAATATAATGCTTTTTCCTCAGTATGTCAGGACTAATCTTCCACGACACCAAGTATAAAAATAGACTAGTTAAGTATTTTATTTTTACATCTAGCTATTTCAAAATGAAAAACCTTCGCAAGGTCAATTCCACATATATTTTTGGCATAATGTGTATTGGCTCCAACAAACATCAACTTACTGGCAAACACATAACTCCCATTGACACCTGACTGCATCTCTGACAATCCTAATAATCAACTTACCCCTCACCTTATAGGCTTATAGGCAGGTCACTTCAATAAGTAGTAAACCTCCTTATCTTGAAGACAATAGAGCGTATAATAAATATGTTCGAGTTACGAATCACTAACTGGAACCTTTACAGTCGGTTTATCGAATGGAACCAAAAGACACTCAGTAACCTTGTACAGGTTTCTGTAGTAGGCAATGAGCCTCACCTTTTGTTTGAAGGCTCTTGATGCTACGTGGCTGCTCAAATTTTCGTAGGTCGAGTGGTTTTTGAACCTGTTACCCATTGACTAAAAATCAGTTGAATTAGGTAGGAAGAAGGGCTTAGGGTGGACAGACCAAGACGAGGCACCAGTCGTTGAAGTCCCTGACTGTCGATATGAGCTGTGTAGAGAAATGCAGACTTCCTTGATGTAGTGTCAGACTAGCAATCAGCGGTTTTAAACTCTTAGTAACGTGACTAAAAGTTGATCACTGGAGTAGGTGTATTCACTCCTTGACATCTAAAGCTTGACTATTTGAACCAATCTGTATCTTTAAGTCGTTTATGCCCTTACACAACTTTGTCCGCTTTTATGTCGCCCCCATTCTATTTACCTGTTCTCTGTATACTACTGTGAAGTGTAGCTGCTTAAGCCGGTTCACTTGTATGAGACGTTCTACGTTGATTTTTTTTTGTTGTTTTTTGCCTTAACCTATGAGCCATAGTTCCGTTGGTCAATCTACTTTGTTAGGAATCTTAATGGCTTTCTAGTGTCGGCTGGCCTTTCATCTTAGCCCACTTAGAATAACTATTATGGAAGTTCCACTGTTTGATAAAATAGTAACGTCATACCCAATGGCATATAATCTGGAACCGGCTGTAAGCCGAAATCGACAATCCATTATTAATGCGAGCTACCGTCAACCATTTGCTCAGTATCACCTCAGAGCTGACGAACATACCCTTAATAATGAATCTATCCTTGAAACTACCTGTCATTCATCCACTCAGCAGGTAATTAAGTCTGGAGTAACTTTCAAATTTTTACATAAATTACACTAGCTTATGGATTTTCTAAATCTTTATAAAGTTTAGCCTCCCTCTAGCAATTAAACAGAAATAGAAGTGATTAAGTAGAATTAACCCACTTCTTTCTCAACCTGATGGCAATCACACTGGAGACTTGCAAGTAAGAGCTGTTTTAAATCTTTTACCAGGACGTGGATGTCTGAATGATACACTAGGATTATAAGAAGACGATAAAATGTTGTTCACCTCAACAAAAGAATGTACTAACTGCTCACATTTTTCTGATTTTCATAAGTTAGCACTAGTATTTACATCCAAAAGCACGCTAATGGAACATATACCTGAAGTATGATTCTGGCATTAGCAATCCTTTTCTGAAGTATATGTGCTTCCTTTTTCAAGACCGTTATCATCTGGTTGTCAAATCAAGTACATACTGTGACTTGGGGAACACTCTTTGAAGTCGGTGTATTTCCTTCAAAAGCCCTAGCTCTTAAACAGATTTACAATTGCTTGGTATATACTTAGTAACCATAATAACTCACTAGATCCCATTATTTTAACTGTATCGTGAGAAATAACTCGAGCAAAACGGCAGGCAATATAAAATCCTGTAAACATTATGACAATGGTTGTTATGAATGTCGTGGAGAAAATTGAGCAACAAATCTCGCTAATTATTAAAGTATACTTCAATACAATCTCAGCATATTTAGCAAATCAAAACAATATTTTTCTGGACGTTTCACCATGTATGCCACAGCTTCTTCAGCAGAATATACTGACTTTTATTAACATCAGAAATATAAATTTAAACAGCATATCAATTATGTGGGGCAGATCATTATTGGTTAGGTGGTTTGCTGTCTAGACTGAATATTATGATTCGTCATTACAAGTTCATATTTTTTATTGTCATTTGACAAAGGAAAATGTAGAGTAGTCAAAGTGTATGTGATTATGTATGCTGTAGAATGTGTTTTGTCCCATACTTTTGTGAGAATACTAGTTTATTCATGAACAACTAGTAATTGTCATTGTAATTAAAGTTTCAATTAGGAAAGGTCATCTTTAATGGCTTTGTCTGATAAGTGTTTATACTGGGTGATGACTGAAGGCGAGATGGAAATCCGGACCGCAGCCGGATTCGAACTAGAGACCACAGGGTTACCGGCCCAGTGCTCTGCCAACTGAGCTAGGAGACCCAACTGCTGACCAAAATTTCATTTTACTCCAATCACCGAGGGTTTCGCCCGGCAGAACACCGGGCTGGTTCGAATCGGGCCACGGTCCGGATGTTCGTCTCACCTTCATCACCCAGTATAAATACTAGTCTGCCAAACTACGGCTAAGATAGTCAAATGATAATGATAAATGTTTGTCAAATTGGTATGAAGTCTACACCTTTTCTTCTGCCCATAAAATTTGATGTTATTAAAATATTTAGGGCTTTGGAAGTTAATCTTTCTGTATGCGAATGGAAACCCTTTCCCATTATATCTGCGTTACCGAAGTCAATGAAGAAGAAACATAACAGTAACCAGATGGTTAGAACATGAACATTGAGATAATACATCTTGATTATTGATAATTACATTTCTTACAATAATATTAATGGCAGACGGTCAAGAATCCACACCATTTGACAAGCTGTCGTGTTACGTTGCGTTGCTCATACGCTATTCTCTAGCCAGCTAGGAGGAACGCATCGGTATTTTGGCACGGTCTATCAAATATATTGTTCTATCTGGTTACTATATTGAGTTTCTTTGTGGTCTCGTACTCGTCGGCTTATAACAAGTACTAATAATTAGTGATTGACCTCTTCGTCTGTTAATTTCGCGTAAGATCAATTCCTAAAAGCGTATGATTGCCTCTGATAATGTAGATATAATGGGGAAAGGTTTTCATTCGCATAAAGAAAGATTAACCTCCAAAGCCCTAAATATTTCAACAACATCAAATGTTATGAGCAGAAGAAAAGGTGTAGACTTCATACCAATTCGACAAACATTTATCAGATAAAGCCATTAAAGATGACCTTTCCTAATTGAAACTTTAATTACAATGACAATTACTAGTTGTTCATGAATAAACTAGTATTCTCACAAAAGTATGGGACAAAACACATTCTACAGCATACATAATCACATACACTTTGACTACTCTACATTTTCCTTTGTCAAATGACAATAAAAAATATGAACTTGTAATGACGAATCATAATATTCAGTCTAGACAGCAAACCACCTAACCAATAATGATCTGCCCCACATAATTGATATGATGTTTAAATTATATTTCTGATGTTAATAAAAGTCAGTATATTCTGCTGAAGAAGCTGTGGCTTACATAGAGAAACGTTTAGGAAAGTATTTTTTTGCTTTTTGAATACGTTGGGATCGTATTAAAATGCACGCTTCTAATGAATTTAACATCTGGTTCTACTATGAAGGTAATCAGATAAGTGACAAGTGGGGTTTGAAATAATCCAAGTTTTGAACCAGTGCACGCTAATAACATTTTTGACCTAAAACGTTTTTCAATTTTACTCATAAGGTCAACCTTAATGAACAAGTGTATGTAGAGAACGAAACAATATTACGTAACACACGACGTAAAATGTAGTAACCAGTGAGTTTGGTGCCAGCCGAAAGTAAACAAATGAACGTGATAAAATATAAACAAGGGTGCAGAGTACGTAATTAAGCCCCTGGTAAAGACAGTTTAGTCAAACTTTGTTGTGAGCCTTGAACGAGGTTTCCAGGGAGCCAGATGTTCACAATCTATGAGATATTCAACGATGCAGATGGAGATAGTTTTGGTGTTCACGCTTCAGCAGCCAGGTAGATACTCTCGAGCGCATAGTACAGCTGATGTATTTAGCTCCATTGGAGCTAGTGTACTTGTAAATACACATTGGTGAGGCCTAATTTGCCAGCCTGTCTTTCACACACTGACAAATCAGCTGTTAACAGGAGGATACAATGCGGAGGTTTGTGGTATAAAATGTTCTACTTAGTGTCTTCGACAATTGTTGACGACGGATGTCCGCTGCAGTATTACCTTTAAATCTGAGTATTTTCTCCGGAGCTATCTGAATATATTCCACAATCCTCTTTTCTTCCACATTTTTGTCTATGAATCTGTGTGGGTAGCCATTCTCTAGCTTTTCTTTTCTGAAGGTTTGTGATTGTTGAACAAGTGTATCACCAACACATACCAAGGTGTTATTCGACTTTCAGGGCATGTCTCGTCAACAGACAGTTGTGCTACAAAATTCTACTTGGTCATTTAAAGACAATTATGATTTGAGTAAGATTATTGCCGACCTTCGTTGTATATGGCGACGCTGGGACATTTAAGGAAGAAGACCACAACCCATCAACACAATCTACAACTTTTCTAACCACCCTTTACGTTCTAGTACCTCATTTTGATTTTAACTGTAAGTTATGTAGAAAATATATCAGTAAGTGGTACATCAAAGTGGAAGTTATTTGTAATCTATCAAAAATACAAATGGTATACATCTACTACATTTAACCGAATGTCATTTCGACTGAAATTTTTATGTGAACGAATAAAGAACTAATTAAACATTGTATCATCTGGTAATTGAAAATGTCGCCTATCATTATGTTCCGTTTGAAAACCCAAAGCTTCCTAAATCTGGCTGAAGTTATTGTTGTAGAGTTTGGCTTTTTTATGCCATTTCTTAGCACGACCATTATTCCAATGATTGGTAATGTTTCGGTAATGAATGTACTTTGAGTTTGTAGTCATTTATGAAAGTCAATGTCACAGCATTAATAGTCATACAGTCGGGACATTGTTTGTAAAGCTGACTAGGTCTAATCAGCTTGAGATTACTATAAACAGCATACAAACTGTGGCATAAAAATGTGTTAAGTTTCTTGCATTTCCTATTACTTATATATATACTCAACAACGACGTTGGGTGGTGGTCGCGCTATGTCGTGAACTGACAAATGTAGGAAATGTGGGTCATTAGATTCTAACCCGGTGGCTCAGTGGTAGCTTGTTGGCCGCAGAACCTTGAATGTCATGAGTGCATACTGCGGAGGAGTTCCATACTAGGATGAAACAAGTGTCCAGTACTCCCAGGTTTCTAATGCTCCTCCAACTAACGTCAGTCCGTGATGAATACCAAACTGAAATCATACCTTTTTGTTAACATAGAAAGACTTTTAATTCATACAACAGTATTTCGTTATATATATAATATAAAATATATTTTTTTCCCGTTATTGTTTTTCAAATGATTTTTCTACTTTTATTCAGTGTTATAATATCACCATTGCAAAACAACTTTCATTATTCATCGGTTCAATGATAATGCGTTTCGATGTGAATCTGTACAATGTAGTTGTTACTGGATTGGCGTTTTTCTTCCTTTTCACTGCATTTCAAACAGCATCACTAACCGCTGTAAGTGCTCAATAACAGTAGTATATTTTCAATTTGGTTATTTTACAGCAAAATACTTTGGAAGCTGCTTCAAAACAAACCAATAATTCTTTTAACGGTGCAGGTTACACCAGGTGACTAATATATATATATATATATATATATATATATATATATATATATATATATATATATATATATATATATATATATATATATACTCTACTTTACTGACTATAATCTATCTATCTACAGCCTAGCGATTGTGTACATCTCATTCGGCTTGTTCAATTGGTTTGCACCGATTGTAATAATGTATCTAGGGAAGAAATATTCTATGATTGCAGGCTCAGTTTGTTATGCGTAAGTCTCTAATATATGTGTGTGTGTGATACATTTGTTTCGTAAATAGGTTGTTTATTGCTACTTTTATCGAACCACTTCAATGGAGTTTATACTTAGTATCATTTGTGAATGGAATTGGCGCAGCTGGTATGGTTATCAATAACATTTTTTTGATCAGATATTTATTTCACTTCGTTTTAGTATTATGGACTGCTCAAGGCGCGTTTATTACAGACTGTTCCAAGCAATCTAATTTAAATCAACATTTTAGCCTGTTTTGGGCCCTGTTTCAAGCAAAGTAAGCGATTTTTATGGTCATTTAATTTAGTTTCTTTTAAAAAGAAGATTCAGTGTGATAGCATTGTGAAACTGTAGCTTCACTTTCATCTGTTAAGTTCTGCGTTAGGATATAAATTCATCCACTTTGATGCAAACAGATAGGTCATGTCATTAGCTGTGATGTAGATCAAAACCTTGTTTTTACTCCTCTTTCCAGTCTTCGCGGGAAGTTCTTAATTCGCAGCCTATTTTTAATTAATTTACCCATGATTACTATGGCACATATGATCCTTATCTCATCCCGTTTGATGGAAGCGAATATCCTTGGTTTATAATTATGATGATCACCGTTACTACTGACCAGTGTGTCAATAGTGTTGAGTTCTCCGACTTGGATGATTTGACTGTAAGGTTCTTATTACCATTCTAAACAGTTATCAGCATCGGATTTTCAAGCTATGGGTTCACCTTCAAATCCTGCTCCACCTTCTTCAACTTGAGTAACTGTTACCTATGACACAATAAAGGTGGCTTGTGGTCGTATCATTTTTCTCTAAACGTTACAACCAATTCTTGTGTAAGAATTATTCAAATGATACTCTGCTGCGCTTCAGGGTTTTCCAATAGAAAAACGTCAAGTTGAACGGAACTCAACAACTAAGATGGGAAGTTTGTGTACGCAAATCTACCCACTTCTGCCTGAACAACAACGTAACGACTGTAATACCCTCAGAAAGGCATGGCTCATAGTCCAGTACCCAAAATTGTACAGTATCGCTTAGATGTATTGTTATTTGTTGCCAATTTACCCACTTAATTATTGTTTACTGTTGTCTTGTATCAGCTTTTTCTCGCTTAGAAAGCACCTTTCTCCTTCACTTATATTTGAATAGTTTTCTGTGCTATTGTTTTGTTTTTTTTTAATAAAAAAAAACTTTAATTGTACAGTCAAATAGTTGGTGGTTTATACGCTTACTTATCATTATCGAATACAACTGAAATCTCACGAACATTACGTATTCAACTTTATGGTGGGTTGTTAGGATGTGCAATTTTCGGCATATTACTACTTTTCTTGTTGAAAAAGCCTAGAACAATTGACAACATTTCGGATGGTCAGTCAATAGATATGCAAGGAGATCATTCGTATAATAGTGGTAGTTCAAATGAACTAACTGGGAATTACCCAAGGTAAGTGAAGCCAACTTACCCTAGTCTGTTATCAAAATGATAAATAAACGTTACTTTGTCGATTTTTTTTTAATTTAATAGAAGTCTGTTACTCTAGTAATGCAGTTAAGATTAATAAGTTTATTACTCGATATCATAAACATTATGTTTATTGTTGTATCAATGAATGTATCGAATCAAAAGTTATACTTAACCTATTTGATTTATGGTGTTCAGACGACATAATCCTGTTAAGAAAAGGTACTGAAAAAATATAGTCTTCTGAATACGTCGAATGGAAAATTGAGTATGGTAGGCCTACTGTTTGCCCGTCAAATGTAGTATTATGGTTGAGCACTGGTTTGTACGGAACTCCAGTTTAAGGATAAATAATGAAGCGGTGGAATGTGCTGGATGTGCTGCTAACTTGGTTGTCTATGTAAGCTTTAGGAGGATTATTTGTTGACTCACACTTTCTATGACACCAAAGAGATATCCAAATGTCTATCAAATAACCGATATATTATGCAGCAGTTCACGTTGCTCCTGTTTTTATGACTGAGAGATGACTGTTGAAAGTAAAGGATATGAAAATGCTATGTTTTTGGTCATCAGTATCTCTGTGGCACTACTCGTGTATGATGGAATCATAGAGTGAGTTATTGTTAAGATTAGGCGTAAACTACCAAGCAAGTAACTTGATGAGTTTGCTTATGTTTACCGACCGGTTGGATGTTACACTTCACTCATACCTAACTGCCATTCTGCCCCCCCCCCCCCATACTTAATCGTGTTTTGTTTACTGAACTAAAATTAAGCTGTAAAAAAAAACTGACATAACGCTTTACATGATATCTGTTTCCACCGATTTAAGCCGTGTAGTAGAATTATTATTATTATTACTAGCCTCCGCTAGCTAGTTTTTCACTTAAAGTCGTAGCAAATTAAACCGCCAAACAATAACTCCAGGACTTTTGTTGATGATGTTTATAACTTCATAGCCAAGTGCACGCGAATGGATGAAACTGTTGAATTCCTTTCATACACTCACTTTAGTGAATCGAGTTATTGAGCTGTTACCATTTTATATTACCGCTAAATAAATCCCATAATATCATTTATTTGTGTTAAGTAGTGAAATTAATCACTGGCTTTCGTCCTATTATAAATCGTCAACCGATTGTAATCTGTATCAAAGTAGGTGGCAGTATCCCGAGGAGACTTGAATTCACTGTCTCTAACACATCATATAGTATTAACGAACGGTAATATAAAGTTACACGTTGAAACTATGGTGTAAAAAATTAATTGATATCCGATATTGGAATATCAGTCAGAAGATTATTAAAATTATGCTTTCCATTTTTCATTGAAGTAAGCAAAACTGAGCATATAAATTTCATCAAGTATAGATAAAAACTGTCCATCAAATAGCTTATATTATTTATCGGTTATTCCATCTATAAATATCGAAAGGTTTAAAATGCCAAAAAACGTTTTTTTTTAAATCGTTTTTTGTAGAATGCAAAATCGTGCAACAGTATTTCAGTCAACTGTACAATCCTTGAGTAAGTTTCTTCTTGTTATATGTTTTCATTTGTCATTAACACTAATAGAATTTGTTTGATCATATGTAGTAAGCAATACAAACTCCTATCTGTCATTCTTTGTATTTTACAGCCTAACATTGGTAGTTCCCTGAATTCATTCGCTATTTCGCTATTTAACAGTCTACATGACTAAATTTTGAGGGGTTGTGGAGATTTGGAATTATTTCAAGTTGTTATTCATCGTAGACTGACATCAGTTAGAGGAACAAAGGAAACCTGGGAGCACTGGACAGCTGTTTCGTCCTAGTATGGGACTCCTCAGCAGTGCGCACCCACGACCCCACCAGCAGGGATCGAACCCGCGACCTTCAGGTTCCGCGACCAGCGCGTTACCATTGAGCTGGTCGCGGAACCTGAAGGTCGCGGGTTCGATCCCTGCTGGTGGGGTCGTGGGTGCGCACTGCTGAGGAGTCCCATACTAGGACGAAACAGCTGTCCAGTGCTCCCAGGTTTCCTTTGTTCCTCCAACTGATGTCAGTCTTCGATGAATAACAACTTGAAATAGTCTACATGACTGTTTATATGCTCACAGAAACTAACAATATCTTTCTTCTTCATTATGACCAGTCTACCATCTATACATCTACACCAACTTTTGATTGAAGACATGTATGCTTTTAAGGCGTTTTCTTCCTGAAAATCCATAAATAAGTCGTATGTTATTGTTTAGACGGGTGGCCTCATGGCTATTACTTTATTTTGTTGGTATAACTTTCCTTCAAATGTGAAATATGTTATCGTTAAACAGTATTCTACTCCTTTCAGTATATCTTCCACTTACAACTCTGTTCTTTCCTTGAAACTATCCTCCTTTGCTAATCTCATCTTCAGTACTTCCATAGCGATGTTTATCGGTATTTTCATATGCAAACTGATTCTATCAAAATTACCTGGAGCTTCCTCTTCACTGGTTTTAGTGTTCTTAATTCTTTCCACTATTCGAAGGAGTCAGCTACTCTTGGTTGAGGAGTGTCTCGTATTGGTTGTAGTATGTTCACTAGAAACCTTGATAACATATACGTCGGTATGTTTTTGAAATCTACTATTTACCTTGTTGGGAAAAAAGAAGACAGGAAAAACGGAAAACGAAAAGAAAGGGGATTGTCAAAAAACTGTAGTATCACCATATAAGAAAGGTACGTGTGAGTCAATCCAAAGAAATCTCAGAAGAGTAGGTATTCGAACGACATTTAATCTCATGAACCTCATCTAAAATAAATGAAACCAGCTAAAAGATCCAATAGAAATATTGGACAAAAATAATGTCTTATACAAAATATCGTATGTCGACTGCTGAGTTAAGTATGTAGATCAAACTTCAAGATCACTTAAAACCAGACTGAATGAACATTAACGCTTAACTAAAGGTCGGTCAGCCTATAGAAGGACACAAGAATATAAAAATTTGGAAAAAAGTTCATCGATAGGAGCATATGTATCGGAAGAAAAACATGATATTGATCAGGACAATGCTGACATCTTAAAATGTAACATGAACACATGGAAAGAAAGATTGTTACACTGAATCCATTTTCATACAAATCACATCTGGCACGTGAAACAAAGGGGACTCAGAACATTATATTGGAGGAAAATGATGATAAGTCTACAAGATAAAAACACCATGTGTATAGGAATTATATCCGCAAATGTATGAGCAAATGATGTGATGGCCGTAACTTTACTCAGATAGAACCAAAACTAAATAGCATCATTAGTTGTAAATATTCATTGCAAATATTTTGAAATGTGTTGATTCTCTCCACAATGCACAAATTTTCCATAAATATGATTATATCTAACTTTAGTGTGGAAAGGCGATACATCTTTAGAAACATTGATATTGAAATATACCACTCGCTTTATGATGTCGAAGCCACACTTTGTGGCAGTTATAAAACTTACTGCTGCTATGGTGAAAGTTGCATAGGTAGGACGACTTGGCAAGCCCTTCATCACTTCACTGAACATTGTCCAGCATGGTTAGGCAAATAAACAGCGAAATCCACTAAAAGCTCAATACTCGCCCATCTGGTTTAAGAGTGAGAAAACCTTAGTATTTATCATTACCCTAAGTTTGTGCATCTCTGATTGCTAAGGCTGGTGGAAGCCATACTAATCGAAGTTTTCAAACCTATACTGGAAGATATTTGTTCATTCCGTATGATTCCCATAGTCCACAGCCTCATTTAACCCAGATACAATTACAATAATTTCCTTCTGGGTCACCCGAATAAATGTAAATTTTATCTTTGTTTGCACTATTTTCATTATCGCTACACTGCATCTTCATTTCAGTTTTAACATTCTTTTGTCTAACTGCTATGGGAAATAAAAATCTGGTCAGCGGTCGAACCTCGTAGCTCATCCGATATATTATGGAGCCGGAAACCCGGTAGTCGCTAGTTCGAATCTGAGCGCGGTCCAAATTTTCATTTCACTATCAATCGTCTCCTAGTATCAATAAACAAGTCTACCAAACCATAGCTATCTCAAATAGTCAAAAATGATAATAATTTTATTATCCTCTATGTCTACACGCATACACAATTCATTAATAAGCCTACAATGATCAACTACTCAGAATAAATAAACTTTCTGGGATTTCGTTTTTGTCATTATCGCCTTTATTATTTCCTCTAATTCTCATACTCGAATTCAATTCATCAAATAGATATCAAATGACTATGCTAAATAATTTGTGTCTTAATTCATTTCTTCTTGAATATTCAAAAATGCGTTGGTATGTACTAACACCGAATCGCTGGATTTCAATCTAGTAGGGACTAGATCGTACTCATTACAGACCTGATGGCATTGAACTCAATCTGTTACAGGGTGGTTGACACGCTCTACCAATAAGTCGAAAAATAGGGCGAAACAGCTATCCAGTGCCGCTGGATTTTCAGTACTTTTTCAGGTGATGTCAGTCTGTGATGAAAACGACCTTGAGGTTAATGTTTTATTTATCTATTTTACTCATAACCACTGTAAACACTTTGCCTACAAGTTATGCACTATCTCGAAGTGGAGTAGTCCGACCCTAGTATAGCCTCGGTAAATTACAAGTATCAATAAACAGCAACCGATACCCGTTGCATGAATGGTAACTCTCGTGCCTCAGTGGCCTAGTGGATAGCGTTTCGGTGTTTTAAGCGGCGGGTACTTGGTTCAAGTTTCAGTGGAAATAACATTACTCACTGGGGTGTAGATACAGGACGAAGCGCTTGTCGTGAATTCCTCTGCTAGCTATAGAATAGGCTACATCCTTTATTTGTTTTTACCTTGTCTATTGATCGCCCTTGTATCTTCATTATTTCAGGTCGATCAGTTGAAATCCTAATGACGAAACCAATGATGTGTATATTAGTGGCAGCAGCATTCACTGGTAAGCTTGTAAGCTAGAATTTTAATCTTCATTATCTCTTAGACATTAACTTCTAATCATGAAGAAATCAGAAATCAAATTCATTGTGTGATGAATTTGTAAAAGTGAATTATACCTTCATAAAATGAAAAACTGAAACTCTAGTTCTTAATAAGATGTAAAATCCAATAACTTTACGATCATCCTTAAGGATCACCAACTAAACCAATATGATGTAAATACGATATTACTGCTCTTGTTATATATATCCAAGGAGAACGATACTCAAATCACTTGGTCTTCAAAACTTTATGCTAATGATTCTAAGAATTATCAAGCTGATGTTTGTTGTTCATAATTTGTACTGGAATAAAAAGATGACAATGAGTAATTAACCTTGAGTTTCTATTGGAAAAAAAAACAGTATTTCGAAGTTGTAGTGCGAGTGTATATGTGTGTGTTCAAGGCAAAGTGGTTTAGACATTTCAATAGACAAACGTTGCAATACATTCCTAACACCACTATACCTGGACAACCGGTCAGTATTGTGGGTAGGCAACGAGTGGAGCTGTGACTCAGTGGTGTAGAGAATTGACTATCAACCACTGAGACATGGGTTCTAGCCCCACTCCACCTACCGAGGTTTGGGCAGCCAGGTAGTATCATGTGCCCACGCACACAAGGTGTGGCTCATTGCCTACTGCACGGATCTTCACACAGTGGCTGAATGCTTTCATTTTCCTCGTTCTTATCATGGATAGTTGTAAATCAAGTTAAGTTCAGAGTGTAGTGCATAAGGTGTGTCCAAAATACGGACCACAATTCCTCCCACTGTTCAGATAAACCGTCATTGGGGTTATTTCATAGTCTTGTCTTTATACGTCTGAATTCGTTTCCACTCTGATGTTTATGTGTGTATTCCACAATGAAAAAAAGAATGGTTAACTCATACCTCTAAACTTAGCCAATTTATTGATTAGTTCATCGCTACTCATCCGTTGGCACCATCATATATAATCAAGACTTCGAAACACATTGATAATCATATTTCGGTATCCTCGTGTGTGTTTCAATTTCAACAACTATGTACAGGAATCAAAAGTTAGAAAGTCTTGGTGACAGTGGTGTAAATGTATGCACTCTTTGACACTTTCGAAGTTGAAAAGATTTTTATTAACCTTCATCTATTTGTGTATACACTTTTGTCAACTTTCATATCATTCATTTTCTATCCACCTTTTCTGTGCAGTTTGCTTGACATCCAATAAGTATCCGGACATTTTGTGTGTGTGCAAAGTGACACAAGCCTCGTAAAGACCAATCGATTTCTCTTAGTATATAAGGTTTCTTGTAGGTACTTGTCTAAGTGAGATGTTTATCGAACTAGTTTTGAGGATACATGTGTTAGGCAACACAATGTGTTATATATTTTCTGATATCTTTTTCTAAGGTATTCAAGGAACTTTTCACTTCGTTTTTATCTTCATCCCTTAGGACTTTGTTACCTACCTACTTCAGGTTGAAAATGAAAATTCCTTCTATCTGTGTTGTTATCGGTTGTAGTAACTCGACTAATTAATGCGTTGAGCTCTGTGTGTATCTGCTCATTTCATACCTTTTCGATATCCAACCTTGTTTGACCTCAATGGTGTGTGAATTTCGTTGTTTTCTAAATGGGTGGTATAAAAACAGGTGTAGTAGTAGACAAAATTTTAATTCATTTGACAGCTAGCTGTAAGTGAGCGTTTCTAAAGGCTCCCTTATCGACAACTGAAATAACCAATTGGACTTCCTTATTTGATGAAAAACTACGACTGACTTTAAAGGTCACCCTAGCAACTGATGAAATAACGAATCACTTTTCTCTATTCTATGAAAAGTTGTCTACCCAGCGAAATACCGCAACATGACTGCTTATTTTGGCAGTTGTTAGAGGGACCTTTAAAGTCTCTCTAAAAGTCCTTTTCTTTCAGTTGTATGATTTACTAATTTACAAACTAGGTTAAACTATGTCCGACCTTTAGTTAACAAGTCTATTTAATCCAAACTACTGCAAAAGTTCTTTTAGCTTACTGTACTGTAGTTTACACACGAAAACTAACAAGTTGGCGGAAGAAGCAGGACAACGAAGACAGGACTTCCTTCAGGTGAACGTAGAGAAGACAGAGGTGATGAAGATACCCAACAAACAATAACAACAAGCACCAATCACCATCAACAGGAAAAATCTAAAGGCAGCATCGTTTCAACTACAGGCGGCACAGACACAGATGAGGATGTCAAAGCCAAAACCAGAAAGACAGCAAGACAGGCCTTCATTAATCTGAAATCAGTGTGGAGATCTACTGGACTGCACTGCAACCAGCATAAAGCGTGAACAACATCCAGATTTTCAACACCAATTCAGTCAAGTAAGTCAGTGCTTCTATGTGATGGTTGAGAGACTTGGAGGCGCGTAACGAAAAGCATTTCCAACAAACTACAGACATACATAAACAGGTGCCTACGCTCGATACTGAAGATCAGATAGCCAGAATAATAAGAATAAGCAACAATGAACTCTGGCCTTGCAACGAACCAAACAACCAAGAACCTATCGCCCAACAAATATGCAGAAGAAGAAAGTGGAGATGGATTGGACTGGACATACACCGAGAGGACCGTTTGGGGACATCACGTGCCAGGTCAGGTCTTTGAGTGGAACCCAAAAGGGAAACGACTAGTTGGGCGTCCGAGGTGAGGGTGATATGGAGGAGATCATGTGAGGAAGAAATGAAAACTTGTGGGCAGTCGTGGAGGCAGGTTGAAAAGACTTCAGAGAAGAGAGTGAAATGGCGACGTGCTACTGAATCCCTATGTTTCACTAGGAACCCAAGCGATAAATAATAATAATACTGTAATTTAAGTGTTCAACTTTTTGAGTAACTCATTCACTGGTAGCAATGCTACTTCACCTATTTAAAATTGAAGTATGTATGTGTGACTGACTCACCGTCTTTCCAATAACAATTTTCAACCGACCACTTTGTTGATTCAGTTTATAGTATTAACAGTTTAACAATAAGGTTAGCATATTTTCTTTTTATGTCTATCATGTGTTCTTGTAAAGATCATGATTAAAATCTGATTGGATTAAATTAAGTTTCTAACATGTTGACCTTGTGAAAGCCGCTTCTCTAAAGAATGAAACGTGTACAAATTACGTTATATTCAAGTACTATCTACTCAAACAAAACATATTATAGTCAATAATTATTGATCGCTAGACTGAAAGTCATACCACCGTTCTAACATACACGTCTGAATATGTAAATGGGTGTGAGTACAATCCAGTTTTTTGTATATATGCTTTCAGCCAAAATTTGTATACCTGACGTCTTCTTAATACATATAATGGGAATTACAATTTCCCCAAATTGAGCCTTATAAAATTATCTTACATATAACGTGACCAATGTGTAAATGTTTCACAGATTAGACGATTCACCTTGGCATTTCTCACAGCTGAGTAGTTATTCAATTGTCTAACAGTCGTGTCAACAGGGTTTGTGTTCGAAACAACCCAGCTGGGATCTTAAGATGTGATCTTTAACATAAAAGGATCATGAACTAGTGAAATATACTACTACTTAATAACTTGAGCAGTTAGGAATGTCAGTATCGACCATGCAATTTGTAAATTTTTTTTAAAAATTGATCATCTGCTTTAAGGTATGCTGATCCATCCAAGTCAGCTAGGCAGATTCACGTGATTTGAACAGTTGGGCTCCGTAAGCTGAACTTGTCTGGATACATCCCTGATGACTTTGACCTCATAACAGTAGAACGACCGTCCCATGTTTAGATTACTTTGATCTGGCTAGCGAAATCTCTAGATAAGCCTCAAAGGTAACTAACTGTTTAATTTTTTTAGTAGTATATTCCGTTATCTCCTATTTATGCTATAAGACCTCATCGATTTTCTATAGTTAATTCAGTCGAAATTTATAAAGTGACCAAATGGATAATAATAAATACACGAACAATGTTAACGTAATGAGACACTTAAACTGGATACGAAAAGCAACTGTTCTCCCCCATAACCTTTTACTTCATTGAGCCATGAAAATCAGAAAGCAAAGACCGGTCGGTGACTATGAGAAAAGCCAAAAAATACACCATTTACATGCAGTTTTCATGAACATATGAAATTTAAATACTTAATTTGATTGACCGACTGTAGGATAAATTATCCAATAAGGTTTTCCTTGACCACTCAGTAATATGAAAATTGAAATCAAAAACTTCTACTTTAGTAGCTGGTGACCAAAAATGTTGATTTCTATTTAGACTGTTTCTTATCAGTTTCTTAGGACTTGAAATAAAAAGGTCGAAAATTTTCATTGCAGAAAATGAATAAATAGTCAGTATGGTTAAGTTGTAAGCTGCTTATATTTGGCAAATGATTTATTGCTTTGCAGTTCATGTACTCTGTTGATCTCTCTCCATAGCTAATCTTTAATAAGACGTATGTTCAATAGTAAACTAACCGTTTTTAGATAATGAATTATTTCAAAATCTTATTGTTTGCCACTATATAAGTAAGTTTTTATATAACCTAAGCGTGTTTGAAAAGTCACAACGAAATTTTTCTGAACATTTCGCTGTATACTCCGCAGCTTCTTCAGCAAAATATTCGGATTTTTATTAAAAACAAAAATATATACAGTCAAATGGCACATACACAGCTTGACTTTCTAAACATGCTGGGATTATATTAAAGTATACTCGTATAACAAACAAATGAAACCCGGTGTTCAACCTCTTCCAGGACAGTCGTAACGACTGTGACTTGGATGTTCATAATCTTGTGATTTACCACTATTGATGGATGGTGGCTAGCAGTGGGATCCAAGACTCGTCAGCTGGATGTACCTCTCCCCTAGTGAGCTATATTGTTTCCACTAAGATTCAAACTCTAGACCGATAGCTTCAAACACCAGAGCCCTATCCACTAGGCCAATGAGTTATGATAGCCACCTCCTGTGCGACGTGAATAGTTTTTATGTTGTTACTTGTATTTCCCCATCGTTGATTGGACCGAATTGATCGGTCTCATTGGCATTTGGGCTCCTGCGTGGATGCTCTGAATTGTTTGTGTGGATAACGCTTCAATGTTCGATGTGATCAGCCCCGGGTTCGAGTCCCAGTGAGAAAAGCATTACTCACTGGGAGGCAAGTACATCCAGCTTGTTGTTTACCGGTAAAAGATTCATAATGATAATTTCTTTCTCATCTCTATTCAAATGTCTTTTTTATCCATTGTTTGTTTGTATACCTTTTTATCATCTTAGGAATCAATCTGACGTTTTATTCGAGTCTTTATGCTTCAGCATTGGGACATTGTTTACATTTTGGTACTAATGCTAAATCTTATATTGGATTGGCGGTTTATTCATTGGGATAGGAGAGATACTTGGTATGTTGTTCATTTATTGGTGTTTTCCCCCTAAAGAATGACATTTTAAACAGCTATATTTTTTATATTTATATTTCAGATGGCTTATGGTAATTTACATAGTGACGTCTACCAGTAAGATCAAGGTTGAACGCTTTCTTCTGTTTAGGACTCGTCAGCTAGAAGTACATGCACTTGAAGAGGTGACTTTCATAACTCAGGAGTAGCCTAGTAGATAATACTTTGGTATTTGAAGCAACGAGTACTAGTTTCGAGACTGAGTGGGAGTACCATCACTGATTGAGATGCAGCTACATCTGACCGATAAACCTGAGATAGGATGAAACGTGCATTCCATAATCCACCGCTAAACAACCCATACATACATAAGTTGTGACTTTGTTGTTAGTTGAAAAACTGGCTGGGTAATACCATATTTGTAAATTTGTGGGGGATGAATTGGCTTGAAATTAAATCCACTGTATGAAACACCATCTTACTAACCATTCTAGTTTATTCACAATTTGAGCTTGAACTACACATCCAGAATGAAACTATACTATACTGACAAGAAGTTAACGACTATTAGCCATCACTTTTTTGTGCCTCAAATTGACTGCGAAAGTCATCTACTAACTCCAATCAAGCACTTGTTTTTATTAGCTGTTGCTTCGGGAATATAAGCTATCAAGGATCAGCAGTTATCGTTCAATAGGAAATACGTTGACGGCGTAAGAGGGCCTTTATTTAGCCAAAACTAAAAACTTGTCCACAAATTATTGTTTCCCTATTTCTAAAACAAAATGCCCTAAAATATACTTGTTAAGAACATTATGGTATACCTTTGTAAGATATCGCATACACTAATATGCTGGTGACACATTCAATCTGAATTTTTGTCGGCACTTCAGACAAATTCGTTATAAAGGAAGATCCGTGAAGCCGTTAAAAGGAGGTCAGTAATCTGAGTGTTTATGTCCTTCCAGATAATGTAGCTTCTTTCTTAACGCGTGAATTAAATATCCTCTTCACAGTAATAATCCAGATGGTATCAATTAACTTCTCTTCGAAATTATGTGATGCCTTTCTAGGCTTTGTGAATCCTTCCTTTGTACTACTCTTTAATGAACTCCTTTGCGTAGCATATTGTATACAAACTTCTGAGATGAAATTTTCAAATCTCTTTAGAGAAGCTTTAGGAACCCTTTTAACTTGTGTTACTACTCCTTGTGAATATTCGAAATACTGTTACTTTTCTTTAGTATTTTAACGATCTATGTCTCCTTACTTGTAGATACAAGAGTCACGTCTAGTTTATAGTTAACGAAACTTCCATACGTGTCAGTCAACAGTCACTTGCCTCTTTATTTACTTATTCATTGTCTTGGTTGTATCGTGTTCTCTGAGCTGGGTTGTTTAATCGTGAAGCTTTCATCGCCTTGCTAGACGACATCATCAGCACTAACTTCAGTATGAAGTGAGCTGTCAATATCTCTCCATGAGTGGTTTAGTAGCTTGCTCTGACGATGTGGTCTGTGGTTGGTTGTTTCCTTCGATTGTTGTGTCATTGATTGTATAGACTTTCCTGTTGGCTGTTCCTCTGCTTCACCTCTGGCCTTTCTGTCGTTTATCATTTTTCTTATTGGTTGATAGATCGGGTCTATGTCTATACATCTATTAATTGCTGACTGACCTGAATGCCTAGCTTTTAGAAATTCTCCGATATTCTTTGTGTTTCCTCTGTCCAAAATTTCTACATTGTCGAAATTGAATTCATGTCCATAATTATCCACATTCATTGAAATGAGTGACGAAATGTCATGGCGTTTAATAGCCAGTTGGTGCTCATGTAGACGAAGGCGAAGAGGGCGGCCGCTTTGTCCAATGTAGTGCTGACTACAGTTATTGAAGTTGATTTTGTAAATGATATTCGGTTTGTCTTCTTTTTTTTTGCATCCTTTGGTCTGCATAATAGTGTTTGGAGGGAATTTGTTGGTTTATGAGCCACACCAATTCCAAGTGGTCTCAGTAATCATGTCGTGATTTCTGATATATTCTTTATGTATGGTAGGACGATGCGTTGTTGATTTCTGTCGATGACTTTGTAGTACAACATTTCTCTCTTTCCGGTTGTGAGTGAGATATAGCCGATGAGAGTAGAGGACATAAAGTCATTACAGGTTATTGACCACAGATATCTTCACGTGTGGTGGAATCACCGTATAAACAATGTCTAGGTTAGATGTCGATTACTGAATATAGGGCAGGTTAGTCGTTGGAACTGAATCTTCACTAGATGAGGTGGCTTTGACTTGTGTTGCACATGTTGCGCTACTGCCTACCTCGAAGTGTAATGCTAGCCAAAATAGAACTGACTTACAAGAATGCTAAAAGTGGTCAGACTAGTGCATGAAATATCTAACTGAGCCATATAGGTAGGTTCCTTGAGATAATACGAATGAGTAATTAGAGACTGTTGGGGAAATAGCTAAAAATCGGTCACAATGACGCAGCTGTATTCACTGTTTGACATCTAAGGCTTAAACATGTTAACTGACCTTCATTTATTTCTTCTATACCCTCCTATTCACTTTTATCTGTCATAATATCACTTTCAATCTACACTTCTTTGCATGCTGCTATGAAGTATGATAAGTTGAATTTATGCCAGGTTTTACACTGGTTCCTTTATATCTTTCTGTCTGTTTATTTCTAATTCATTTTCACAAATTCAAGTTATTAATGTCACCTTTTCAGCGCCTGAATGATATCAAGAAGTATATTTAGCAGTTGCGAAACCCATTTCAGAAAAAGAACTCAATGCATCAGTCGAATTGTATACAAATGTTAATGATGACATACCTGGATCCCGTTTTGTAAGTTTCCAGCAAAAATAAGTAACATCATTAAGGAAAGCTGAAAGAAAAGTAATTCCATTCATGATTGCATCAAATAGTTACATGAGCTTAAAGAATGACAGTTATAATTGACAAATTTTGTGGTACTTTTTTTACTAACAAAATTTTTAACAATTAATTGTGTGTATATAAGATAGTACAACATCGTCAAAATCATCCTTCTGAGCTGCAAATATTCTCCAACATCTCGAAATGATCTTTGTTCTTGTATCACTCTGTGTACGTATCTTTAGGGAAGTAATGGTTTGAAGAATATTAGGTAAGTTGATAGTCATCAGTACTAATAAAACAAAATAAAAATTCCACCCAATGTTAACTGTTTTTGCTTCACTTTATTTCCGTATCTTATGTCTACCGGTTTCTTATTCGCTTTCAGCACCATACTACTTATTAATAACAAGTAACAGTGTCGTGCATATTTCATTTTGTTGATTTCTTCGCATTGCTATGTAAAGAATTTTGTTATTACAGTAGGTTATCCTTTCATGTCATTTTGTGACCACATTTTACCATCTTCAGTTTGCTGCATACCGTTCCTTGAATTGCCGTTAATCTTTATACCTTCTACTTATGCACTGGTCTTTATTGCGCCTTTTACCCTCAACCGAGGTTTGAGCTTAATATCCCCTTTCATTGTTTGGTTTGCTTATTGCCACACTCCTTGCAAATCGCCTTTGACGACGTTATAAACACCTAGATATTTCATAGTCTGGAATTTGTAATGTCATTATTCATTTTTGCGTAGAACTAAACTTTAGTGACGGTCAATCGTGTCCAAGTGACCGATCAGAATCAAAATTACTAAGGACAATGTAATTAATAGGGGAATGTTATTTTATTGACAATTCGTAAATCTGTTTCACATGAGAAATAAAGATGTATAGATTTCCAATAGGTGTATCATCTTTGAAACAATACCAGTGTCTGTATTGCCACTGATCCATGTGAGACAATATCATTCACCTTCATGAATCCCGTTAAAGGTTTTAAGAACTTTCTAAGACGATTCCGTATATTTTCAAAGCTGTTTGTGTGCACTCCAGTAGTCCGGCCAACAAAGTGCTTCTTATGAACAATAGCTTGATAGGGGTAACTAATTTCAGGTAGAGGCATATACGACTTTCAAGCATCCGCGTATATCAATATACCACAATTGTGGTACCCAATGCCACGCATTTTTCTATAACTGCTGAGATAGATTTTTCTGATCTACTCCTTATACACTGAAAATGTTGTTTCTTCGTATTTTGATCGTGTATACCAAGAATCTGTGGTTTGGCAAGACATCCATGTGTAATTTACCTAGTCTTGTTTAAGTCATCTTCCTAGGTTATATTTAAGTTTCTGAACAAGACAGTCATCTATTTCAGCCACATTACTTCACCAGATTTCACATCCAACCTGCAACGTAATCTGTGTCCTGATTCATCGAAAGTGTATGCAGCGCCAACACCACGGTAAATGGACGCAACGAATAACTGAATAAATCATTTCCAACTTGACTGGTTTTCCTCAAGGTCTCTCGTCAGTAAAGTTGAGTTCTACTTATTTTTGTTATCTCTTACTGTATTCTAGACGAATCTCATGTTTTGATTCTGACACTTCACGTATAACTCGACTGTTTGGTTTTGTAAGTCCTGGGTGAATTCTGCACTACTAATTGTGTGTTATGTAAAATGCAAATTAATGTCGTGCCACGAAGAGATAACTTTGACTGTTTACCAAACATCGGACTCGTAATACATCATATTTCGTGATTTCCCGACAAGGCGGATGCGATATCCGTTATATGACCAGTATCAAATATAAATGTGAATAAATAGGTTTACTGCTAGTCTTTATTTCTTCTTTCATTAGTAGATGTTATGAACCACCTTGTGAAAGAGGTCGTCTTAGCGCATCAAAGATATCTCCACAGAAACTATCAAACTTACAGCCTAATATGCTGACATCTGAAGAACACTATCTTGTAACTGTGTTGATTAGTTACATTTAGTCCTGAATTACCTACGGTGAAAGTCTTCAAAGATGGCTAGTTTTTTGTATTAACTGAAATCGCAATTTCTTCCCCTAAACGTATATGTTTCCCTCCATAAGTTGATTGAATAGTTTTCTACTCTGTTTTCACCAAATTCTTTCTAACGAAATTATTGCATACCCATTTTCTTTCCGTGCCTTTGTGTAGTTATGCATTGTAGTATCCCACCATATTTTTTCTCATTTGACCACTCAAACATCTGATTAGGTTACATTTCTCCTCTCTCTCTCTGTTCGTCTGTCTCTCCTCTCTCCTTCATCAGACTTCCGAACTGCTATTCATTGGACGTAATCTTTCGGAATTTATTAGTTTTCTTGCCAAAAGAAACAAATATATTGTTGTTATTTTCATAATATATATCATTTGAGTGTGTATATGCCCGAAGACCTTTCATTCGGAGGAACCATTGCTATTCTAACTCTTTGTCTACAAACTCCATCCCATATATTTTCTGCTATGTCGATCCTTTCATCGTATAAGTAGTCAAGCTTATAGACAGTTTTCACTGCCTCCATCTTCGCTGACTTTGATTATCTTCTATCTGTTTTGGCTTTCGTTCAGATTTAATTCATTCTACCCTGTCAACCTGACTGAAGTATGTACGTATAATTGTTATTTATATTTTAAAGTTATACTTGTTTGAAAGTGCAAGCAGTTGAAGAAAATTTCCAAAATAATTGGATTAATATAATCCTCTATACAACCATTATTCTTGCTTTGTTCAATTGATTGTAAGTGCTAAGCTCTAGGTTAAGAAGCCATTTTTAATGTTACTCTATAATAAATAGAAAAATGCAAGTTACAATTTGTTGATATACTTGTAATTCCTCTCGATCGAACTTATCGATCACTGTTGGCATATCAGCTCCTGAGCGGATGCCTCGATACTGTCTGAATACTCGATCCAGTATAATAACGGAAAATTACAAGTACCAACAAATAATAATAACTAATACTCGTACAAGATGTGACTGTCGTACCTCAGTCGCCTAGTGGATAACGCTTTGGCGTTTGAAATGATGGGTACCAGGTTCTAATCTCAGTGGGAACAACATCACTCAATGGGGTACAGGTACATCCAGCTGGTGAATCGCAAATTAGACGAAACGCACATCTTCGATTCCACTGCTAGCCATAACCAAGTTAATTATAAGAATGCAAGTTATATGTTAAGCTTTATTTTGCTGTGATCCATTGTTTTACTAAATTTCCTCCATAGTAAACAGCAGAACTCATCTAGTTGTCTGAATTTTCAAGTAGGCAAGTAACTGAAATAAACTATTAGAGAATAAAGTAGATTAATATATTGTAAACTTAGCGATCAACATCTAATCAAAGACGATGGGAAATAAAGTGGTTTTGAGTGTACTAATCACTGGAAAGCCACATTTACTGTGATAGATTACTTACTAACGAATTGTTGGCTAGAATACAAAAAAGATAGAAAGTGATCACAACATCAAATATGCATTCACACCATACTTTTATCTTAGAATACACCCTCATTTTTGTCGTCATCACTTTCTTTTGCCTCTGAGTTGTGTTTTTTGACGATTCCTACGATTATTTTTTTGTTTTCCCTTCTTTTCTGTTTATCGGAGGCTAGGTGATGTGTCTCAGAACTTATCCACACCGTATCTGCATGTTGATAGTCATACTAAATTTTATTATTCTGCCACTCCTCTTGCGAAGTCTTCTGGACACCTTAATCAGCAATTTGAGAATGTTTGGGGTGCGTTTCTCGCCACCTAAGTACAAATTATTTTTCCAGGACTTGTCTTCAACGGTACCTCGACTATCGGTAGAGAGTGAAGTGGTTGAGAGCGTTAAACTCTTCACTTACCTTGGAAATCAAATCAGCCCTGGTGGGTCAGTGACTGACGAAGTCTCCCCATGGATACAAAAGTTTCGGTTGGCTTTCGCCACCTTACGCCATCTGTGGTACCCCCGCAATATCCGATTATCTATTGAGGGTCGAGTGTAATATGCTGCGGTCCTCTCTGTTCTGCTGCATGACTATTAAAAATGGGTATTTAAGGTAGAACACATGAGAAGGCTTTAGGTGTTCTATCACTGCTGCCTTCGCAGCATAGACCGTGTTTCGTCGTGTCACCATGTGAGTAACGTAGAAGTCAGACGTAGAGTTTTAGGCAAGAGAGGTAAGACAGATGATGCGGTCGTGAACCTTCATTGACTGAGATGAGTGGGACACATGTTACGTATCCCCAGCCACCATCTGCCTCCTCACACAATGTTGGCCGAATTAGGCCCAGGGTGGAAAAAGGCTCGAGGCGGCCAAACTAAAACATGGCATCAATGGATGAAGTCGTTGATCGTTCGTTTAAGCCATGTAGAGCGATGCAGACTAGGCAGTTGGGTTCCACAGGACATGGGATACCAGTGGTTGGAGACTGGGTGTTGTGACTCAGAGCCGATGTCAGTAGTGGAGATGCATGAACACATTATATTCATCTTAACCGCTGTACTTAGTCTTATCATCTCATTCTTTCTTCCTCTTTTTTTCTACTTCCCTTTTCCGGTTTTTCTTCCTTAATCTTTATTTTAATGCCTTGTTACTTGATGTACTGATATGAGGTATGTCAACTAGGACCGTTACACAGTAATGCCTGGTCCTAAGTTGTTCTTGGTGATGGTCTTCTACATATATCACCTATTCATTCCTTACTGATTTTGACTAAAAATACGACCATACAGATCTATTTCCGCTAACTGTAAGTTGAATAGAAAACTTTATCTGGTTGATCTTGATTAACAATGAAGGTAAAATTCTCTTCAGGTGTAGTAAACCAAGAATTCGCAATCCTCTTTCATTACAGAAGTTCTTGTTTGACTAATGTAAACCTGTCTATCTGACCTGAAGACAAGACAGATGGGTATTACGCTAATAATCTTGTCCAAAGCTGTCTTCATTAGCTTTACAATACAAAAGTAGGCAATAAGGAAGTATCTTCAAAGTTTAACTTGACATTTTAATCGAGCTAAACAAGTTATTGGGAGTATTTACAGTAGAGTGTAGCTATCTAACTTGTCATATCCTAGTTAATTGACCATTCACTATTAATTACTCACTTCTAGATCATAATATCACTACATGTTAGTAGATTATAAATAGCCTTTACAAAATGACTACAGATTACAAGCATAATATATCATGTATGTATGGATGTAGCTAGTAAAGATATGTACGTATATATATATATATATATATATATATATATATATATATATCACCACTGTCATGCATTTTACTAATTATAAAAGGTGCCTATTAAAGTATTATTATTGTTATAGATTAAATATCCATATCACCTTGAAACTACAGACTAATAACGGGTAGTAAAGACAAGTTTGATCGTATCGTGATCAACATAACAAAGATATTTATTCGCATTTTGGCTATCTGAGACAGCCGTGGTTTGACAGAATTGGATTGATACTGGGTGATGATTGAAGATGAAATGAAAATCTGAACAGTGGCGAGATTCGAACCAGCGACCGCAGCAGTACAGTCTCGTAGTCCAGTTGGTAAAGCACCGGGCCGAAAACCCGATGGTCGCTGGTTTGAATCTTACAGCGGTCCAAATTTTCATTTCACCTTTAATCATCATTCAGTATTAAAGACATTTATGCCTATATTATTAGTATATATGAACAATATGATCCGATTTGTCACCATTTAGTATTTAAATAGTCGATAATTTGTACACGTTTTGTTCTCTAAAGAAGCGATTTCCACTAAGTCCTGTAACGTCAGAAATTTATTTTTCTACCTCATTGGAATTATACCAATATAATATTTCATTTTATAATCCATTTATCCTATGCTCAACTTGTTCAACTCTATTCAGTCAAATTTTGATCCTGAAGTTTGTATTGTTATTGTTGTTCATTGTAGGCAGTTTTTCTTCGCGTCTAAGCCCATGGATTCGTTTAGAAGGTATTTTAATTACTTTTGGCTATTCGACTGCAGTTGTCGCCGGTTATTTCACGTACATGATGCTGCCAGCAAATAGTCCTATGATAGATACTGATGATCTGACTTATATTACGCCAAAGTATGTTTTAAATGATGTGTATTTTTTTTTTAATTTATTAAATTTATCAGAATTGAAATTGTTTTTTTATTATTATTAGCGAAAATTATTGTATACAATAATTGCTGACTGAAGTTTTTCATTGAGAAATACAGTGGTTTCCTGTATTTTGCATCAAATACTCAAAAACAGTTGACTAGAGACTCGTGCTCAGTGATAACAACTTCAACTATAGTGCATTCACTGTATGCACCCCCATTGACAACTTTTTATTCCTTAACCTGCTAAAGATCACATCATGTATATATTCTAGTCACCCAATTATCATCAGTAGTAGTTCGAATAGTTCAAATGTAATGCCGCTGACTGAAAGACCAAAATCGAGAATTTAAGTTTCAAAGTCTACCTCTTGGTTTTCAGCTCTTGTGTAAACTGTTTGCTGATTAGTGCTGATGATTATACATGAAACCTATTCAAAAGAAAGTTGATGGTTTGTCCTGACGAATTTCATCAAAATATTTCTTACTAAGGAAGTACATCTATACTTTATCTCTACACCCATCGAAATATTTACAGTTGCATTTGGTAAGTTTCTAAAAATAACTGGTTTAGTCTGTTCCCAGCTGAGTTTATTAAACTACCCAGTTGCCGAGGTCAAGATAGCTGGCGTTGGCTTTGAACCTGGGACTTAATACTTGGAAGTTGAATGTTAAACCGAAAAATTATTATCTGTATGCATTTTTGAACAAAGAACATGTTATCGTTTTTTATTCCCTTAAATTATTCCTCTTTTCAGTGTTTATTTGGCTATGTTCTTAGCCTTTCTGTTCGGTAGTGTAGATTCTGTCTGGAATACACAGATATCTGCTTTAATTGGTTTTATTCATGGAAAAAATGGAACAGATGTTACAGTTAGTTTTGCTTTATTTAAATCAATTCAGGTGAGTGTATTGTAGCTACTTGGTTTTTCATTTTTAGTCATTATTATTACGATTATTAGTATTATTATTTGCATGGCATTATCGCTCATCAGTCCAAGCACTTGATTTCAATCGATGAGTCACGTACAAGAAACCAGTCCCGCCTACAGAGATTTAAGCAGAAGGTGTAGCTCATCGCTTACTACACAACGTTGCTGAATGAATGCTGGCATCGCCGTGAACCGTAGCAATTTGAAATGATACACTTCTTTGCCAGGTTATAACAATGCAGAATTTCTCTGTCGATTGACAAAAATTAAAGATACTAAAACTTAATCAAAAGAGAATGTAGAAGATAAATGGGTTAGCAATAATTCTCTTCTTGATTCGTAACTTCTGGTTTAGTTTTCTTCTTAACATAAAAAGGCTACTTCATCTTATAGTGTGTGCTTATTATACAAACTAAAAGTTTATTTTGACTCTCATACACAACATAACTTGAACCACCACATACCTGGGTAGTGGAACTTGTTTGTCCGTATGTTTTTTTAAAATTTATCCTTTGGGTTCCTAGTGGAACATAGGGCTTCAGTAGCATGTCGCCATTTCACTGTCTTCTCTGAAGTCTTTTGAACCTGGCTGCACGACTGCCCATAAGCTTTCATTTCTTCCTCACACAATCTCTTCCATGCCATCGTCGGACGCCCAACTCGTCTTTTCACCTTTGGGTTCCACTCAAAGGCCTGACCTGGCATGTGATGTCTCCGAATAGTCTTCTCAGTGTATGCCTAATCCATCTCCCACTTTCTTCTGCATATTTTTGGGGCACTTGTCCGTATAAGCGTTGCCAAATTGTTGAATATTCATTACTGCACATTTTTCACATAATTAAATGTGATGACTTATATTCTTGATTTTCAGGTTTCTTCAGCTAATCTTTTGAAAGTACAGTTGTGTGACTGAAGAATTTGTTTCTCATGCACTGGAACAAGGATATAGTTTTACATTCGAAAACAAAATGAACCTGTATACAATAGGTATAATCTATAAACACGTCATATACCTGCGCACAAGCACTTTACTTTTGAGTAAAGTTGCAACTCATTGACACAGGTGTTTGATTTTCGATAAGTTTTTCGCAAGTTCAAACCACGTTTAACCTATTAAGGTTTGAATAACTAGAAAATGGTATATTTGTCTCATACCCTAGTGCCACGGATCCGCTGCTGACTACTTAGCTGCTTAAGTTTTCGAGAACCATAGTCGTTTTGAAGCTTTGTGTTGTATTGGACTAGTGTGAAATGAATGTAAAAAAATCGTCAAGTTTATTATCTAGTTGTTGAAAAAATTCTGAATAGCATCGGGTTACTTTACGCTGTTAAGAGTAGATTACAATAACAGAAGTTTAAGGTTAACAGAGTTATTTCACCACTCCTGACTGGATAGTTTTTCATAGACTCTTTAATGACTGTAGTTTTTCAGTAGATGATCTTTAGTAGCAAAGTATACTTTTATTCAACACTCATCAAACACTGCCAAATAGCATAACTGTTGGCAAGATTGAATGTTGTTTTCAAGTTGAGGATAATAGTCAGTTTCGGATAGTGATATATTTCCCAATGTTTTAGAAGCTGATGACGATCTCATCAACTTACTTTTGTTTTGAACTAAAGCCTGTACAATTTTCTTGAAGTTACTTATCCAAAGATTCTCTTTGTCAGATAATAACAACAGATAGTGCTGTCTAAGATACTACTAGCTAAATTGATTTCAATATAACGACTTGCACCATTTTTTATAGATATCCAAACCGAATTGGAATTTAATGGTTTAAAAAATTTGGCCATTTGATAATTGTCATTTATTAGTTTGGTATTTATATTTCTCATTAGATTTAAAACAAAATAAATTTATTTCAACTGACGTTTCACTATTTAGTGCTAATATCTTTATCACAGTTAAAGTAAACCAGAACTTACAATATCCAAGCTTATACATGATAACTTGATATGTGTTCTTCTGTATGAATGATTCTGCGTTATCAAATTATTGAAAAAAGAAGACATCCACATAGTGTTATATTGTGGGATGAGTGTATGAATTATAGATTGAGATTTGTATGTAGTGTTGATAGTTCTTATCGCGTGTATGTTGATTACGTCAGTATGTAGAAGTGGGTTGAGACCAGGTCACATTACGATGAGAATTATCAGCACATATATAAATATAAATCTCAATCAGTAATTCATACGCTCATCACACCTGATACACTAAATATGGATATCATCTTTGTTCAACAATTCGACAACGCAGTATCATTCATACAATCAATATCAACACTCGACCAGGTATTACTGCACAACGGTCCAATTCGCCATACCTAATATTAGCACAACAAGTAACAAAGTAACAGAATGAAAGATGAAAAAAGACAGTAAAGTCGGTCAAAAGCAGTAGAGAGCACTAAAATAAGAGGAATGAACAAAGAGGAAATGCTAAATTCAGAATAGCGGTTAGGATAAAGATGATTGGGATGCATCTGCACCGCTGACATCGATTCTGAGCCATACCAACTAGAGTCTCGAACCACTGGTTTCTGTTGTCACGTGGCTAGTCTGCATCTGATAACATGGCTCAAACCAACAGTCAAAGATATCATACAGTTATGCAATGCTATAGTCTGACCGCCCTGAGCCTTTTTTCAGCCTGAACATACTTCAGCTAACATTATGCAACGGGCGGACGGTGGCTAGGTATGCATAACACCTAAGTTGATGAAGCTTCACAACCTCATCAACTGACTTCCCTCTTTCCCTAAAACTACATCTGACTTCTGCGTTACTGAAGTAGTGACACCATGATACACTGTCAATACTACGAAGGCAAATGTGATGAAACACCTGAAGCTTTCTCATGACTTTTACCTTTATTGGCCAACTTCCTCAGCCATATAATAAAACAAGGCAATTTGAGGTGTAATACACTGAACCCTTACTAGGCAATCAGATATCATGGGAATGCCATGTGGTATCAGATGATGAAAGTGAATCGACCCTTTTGTTTGCATGCGGAGATTTCATCGTGACCGGTGGGGGCAAAGCTGAAGGTCGTGAGAAGAGTTACTCAACGATGACGTTGGTTGGCAGTTGCGCTATATCGTGAGCTAACAGAAGTTGGAAATATGGATCGTTGGATTCTAACCCAGTGGCTAAATGGTAACGTGCTGGCCAAGGAACCTGAAGGTAGCGGGTGCGCACTGCTGAGGAGTCCCACACTAAGACGAAACAGCTGTCCAGTGCTCCCGGTTTCCTTTATTCTTCCAACTGATGTCAGTCTACGATGAATAACAACTTGTAATAAGATTTTACTTGCACATCTAAACCATGGCAACAAGACTGATAGTTTATAATGAACCATATCCTATGCACCAGTGTAACTGCAAATAATTTGTTTGCATTCGGAAAGTACAGTACACCGTTATTGTATATCACAGTCCAGGGGTCTCTGAAGCGTGTTCGTTTCAATGAACTTTCAGTATATGGGACAAATGTTCCAGTCATTTGGGGTCAGCTGAAACTTACAGATTATATATCACCATATCAAAATGCTTATTGTCCTACAGTATTGAAGAATTAGAAGACAACCGACGAGAGAATGTTTGTTACGAACAATTGGAATGTTAGTGGTTACATATGGTACTCCTTGCACTAACGCAGCCATTTGCAAATGTCTTCTTTTCTTCTCCGTTCCTGTCTTGATTTGCTCTTGACCGGCTCTTCATACACTCTTATCAGCAGCATCCCCTGTAATACGCCTGTTTTGTCCCCTGTGTTGCTCTCGGCAGAAACCTTACCCATTGCCGGTAATTCCCTATGATTCCTGCCACCCTCTCGATATATACTACTTATGTCCGTTGTTATCAGCAACGCCCACTACAGTATATTAGTCTTTGTCAAATAGGCTTTTCCCAATGTTGTGCGTAAATTGTTCTGATATCGTTTATTTTAACATAGCTGGATTCACTGATTTGCTACTGAATATTCAATTGTACGCCACATGCATTTCGAAAGTAATATTGCTGCTGTTTAGAATTCAATGCTTAGGTTAGACATTTTGTCCTTATCATAGAAGTAGTCATTCAAATGGACCTAGCAACTAACTGCTTTAATAAAGTAAGATTTTATTCTTTTCATTTACCGGTTTATTCTATTCCTATATTACTGATCAGATATTATGAGTGATTGACTAAGGTCAGTAAATGAACTATTAGTATTAAATGTCTCAACATTACCATAGAAGACATACTGTTTTCATACTTGTCATTCATGAAATCCAGTTTGCCAACTTTCTCCTACTGGATTTACTTCCCACTATAGTGAGCGTTGAATAGGCTCTAAGCTAACATTTATATCAATTAGATTCGATTTGCTTATTGTTTCAAATCATTCTATGTTTACTTTTTCCCCCTAGTCTATTGTATCCGGAGTTGCATTTGTCTACAGTACTTACTTACTGTTACATTGGCAAATATTCATTTTTATTGTGATGGCTACTATTGGTATGTATTGCTTACTCTGTGTGTATTGGTCACAACCATATTATCCAATCAGGATTAAATGAGTCAAAACTAACGATCACTGTTTCTTTTCTTTGTGGGTTCAGTTATCTTGCATTCGCAACTTCATTTCTCTGAAGTACTTTGTTGTATTTGTGTGTGTGTGTGTGAAATTCTCCTTGAATAACGGAGTACATGTGATTTATTTCTTGTAAATTAGTATTCGACATGCTGAATACAGAATAAACGTCCATATCGTTGTTTGTTAAACTCTCTACTGAAAGGGAAATTTTAAACATTTTCAGCAACGAAAAACTATCTGTTTCTATACTTGTGAATCAGTCTTACCTAATGTTTGATTCAGTACTTACGGTTATTTTCACTACTATGTTTTAGATCCTGGTCTAGTCTGTTTACCTTGATTAGAGTTTATTTTCTCAGCTACTAAGTTAAACTGTGTAATCTCAGTGGCCATATGTACTTTTCCATACATCAAGCAATGAGGTAAACCAATTCTATGAGGGCTAATGACCGTTCAAACCTTGATAGGCGAAGTGGGTCTTGGACTCTCAACCTACTGGTTGAAAACTAACTACCTAGACCGATAAGCTACAGTTTGCATTTTTCCAGCACCGTAAGTAGTAATAAATTAGGTGCCCAAAATAATTGATAGTGCGTATACCTTTTTCGATTGTTGAAATGTACTTCACGCACTTCTTCCCTCAGAAAATTAGTTCAGGAACTCATCTCATAGGATTAGTGAAATTGATTCCGATAATCTCAGTATGTAGAAGTTATCCAATTGACTAAGACTTTTAGTATAAGGTGTCGGAATTTTCTAAACCTGACTAACTGTTTAGAACTTGGATGTTATTTCATAACCACGGATAATTCTAAAACACCAGTCTCCAGAATGTCAATCAAACGTTTTAGCATTATTTCATACCATTGAGAGGACCCCTTAAACGGAACGTTTGAGCCCCAGAACTGTTGTAACGACCAGCTGTTGATAGGTTTTTGTCTAGCCTATAGGTAGATAGGTACGTTGTTGCAGGGGGGGAGGCGTAAAGCAGTGTGAGTTTAGTGGTGACCACGAGTATCTGGAAGGGAAAAGAGGAAGAGAAAACGTGAGCCGACGACTCAGCAAGTACATCAGATGTACCTACACTCAACAATAAAGGAAAACTGAAAACGCTAGAGCTTGACAACGAAAAGGTAAGGCAGTCGAAATTGGAAAGTGAATGAGTAAGATTTCGAATGAGTTACACTGTCATGGTATCTATTTCTTTCAGACACACAAAATCAACTTAGAACCTCGCATTTAATTGCATCGGTTCAAGTTTCCACACTTCACAGCAGAATTTGAAAAACAAATGGATAGAGAAATAGTTAAATCAGAATAGTTGAAGGTGTATGGAACGAAAAGGAATTTGAAAACGAAGACTATTGAAAAAGAGTGAATGCATCTGCGTGATTGTGACCGACTTTCAGCCGTATCACCAAAGGTTTCTAATCATTGATTTCCATTATCTCTAGGACCCCAACATTTCCCTACACAGCTCAGACCAAAAGTCAATCACAATTACTGGCCACCCTGAGGATTCTTCCAACTCAATTCTACTTCCACTAACATTGCATGTTGAAGTAAGCGGTGGCTCGGTGTGTGCAACATATGTTCAAGCCACCTAAGTCGATGAATTTTCACAGTCTCGTCGACTGACCTGTCTTCCTTGCGTATTACTCTACCATTAACTTCGACGTAGCTCGCGTGGTGATTCCATCATACGTGAGCCATACCTCGGAGACACCATCGTTCGAAAAACTCTAATCTCTTTATATGTATTCTACTGTTAAAGGGTTATATAACAGGAAAGAATAGACTGCGGCGCAGTATACTCGTCCTTTGATTGGTATTGGGATATCTCGCTGGCACCAGAGGTGAAATAAGTTACCAAGTGCAAAATAAGCCTTCTGTGTCCCAGCTGAAGTTTAATCAGCTCGTTCGAGCCAATGCAATTTTTAATCCTTAAACTGGGAGCATTTGCAGACATGTCTTGAAGCATCATTTTTCATTTGACAAGTGCAAAGAAGCCCATGCCAGACATGCATATATTTCTGCTCAAGACGTTCGGAAGAGTCTCTACTTCACCAGCGTCTTTGCTTAACATTACAACGTTATCTATGTACTTCAAGTCCACCAGATACCATCCACGGAATGGGTCAATTTCTGTGAAGTCAGAGGTATCTAGGGTTATTTTCATCAGTACATCTACAGCAAAGTCGAACAGCAACGGTGACAGTGGGCATCCCTGGCGAACACTTCACTTCACATGATAATCCTCTCTAAACCCTTATACGGCTGCGTGAGTTCGAGTAGAGAGCTTTGATTAACGTTGTATACTTGCTCGGTCCTCCGTTCACAGTCGAAGCATCTCTCGGTCGACGGAGTCGGAAATCGCTTTCAGATCAAGAAATACAGCAAGTTTTGGCCGCTAGCAGGTACGTTTGTGTTCCGCAACCTGACAAGAGGTAAAAATCTGACTCATGCACTTTCATCTAGTCCTCTTGTTTGCTGTTCTCGAAAGCCAGATTTGCGTTGGACAACGATGGATCTTAAGATCTTGGATTCCCATGTGTGTGTCACAAGATTTCTCTCTTTTCTTATAGACTGGGACGACCAGTGAAGATACCAGTCTGACGGTACTACCTTTCATGCCCCTATGATACCTGGTACCTCCATTACTGTTCTCAGTAATTCACTGCCTCCTTCTTTAAAAACTTCGGTTAGCAAACCGCCAAGTCCTACTGCTTTGCATCGTTTCAGGTTCGATACGGCCTTCTCAACTTCTAGAAGACTTGCAGTGTCTACATCAAGATCTCGTTCAGTCTCGGTTTGGATGCTGGGTAATCGAAGCGTCTCTGTGAACCAGTTGAAGTGTGCTCCAAAATGTTCCGCCTAAAGTTCTAGCCGTGTGTCCTGAGAAGTTATCAGGGTCCCAGCCTTTTCGATGATGGTTTCACTAACCATCGTTTTCCCACCAGTATCCCCAATAGGCCTAAATAATTGCCGGATGTTAACCAAAGCTGATACCTTCTTCATCTACTTCGCTCTAGCCACCCACCACTGTTCATGATCATTGCGAAAACTTGTGGTCGACCTACATTTGACCGACTACCGCTGCTCATTGTGATCAGAGCCAGCTGGAATGAGTCCTCTCACCTGTCAGTCAGCTCCGATGAGGTTTTGATATCCACTGGCTTTTGCTAACATTTGGATATAGATTACCAACCGTGTCTCTCCTTGTGCTTGAAGTTAGTGCTGGTCAGAAAAAGTGATCGCCAGAACAAAACTGCAAGAGACGAACACGGTTGTCCATCCGTTGACATGGAATGCCGTAGATGCCTCTCTTACTAGGGTGTTGAAGTCATCTCCTATTATGACTATATTTGAACGTCTCACCTTATGTAGCAAAACTTACAGCTTTTGATAAAATCTGCCCTCTGCATCATTTGAACGGCAGTCAGTAGGCATGTGGGCAGAGATTATGAATAGACATCAGTAAGTTTCGTGACCCTTTCTAGTTTTTATATAAGCATTCAGTCTAACAGTACACAGACGGCTGTTGACTGGTATCCAGTCGAGAAGTGCGCTTTCTGGTCGAAAACTTAATGCAATGCTTATACCAGTGTGTCCACGAGAACTAGCCATTGAATCTTCAGACACTCGTGAAACGAGTTTTGCAGATTCACTACGTTAACTAGATAAGGTCAACTGAGTAACCCCACTTTGGTCCTGTATACGCGTCTCGGAAACGCACCATATATCCATGACTCGAGATTTCAGAATTTCGGAAATTATGCCTTTTGCCCAACTTGTCACAAGGATCGGAAGTAAAAACTGGCCGCATGATTTTAGGAGACTAGGAATGGTGTTTCCGTGACTTGGATCGTTAACGGTGGTCGCAGGGTGAGAGGTTGAGGAAGTTTTTTCGTTGCTCAAAGCGTTCACTTGGTTGGTATTCTACCGACTGCCCAGATTAGAAGTTGTTTCTGCGAGATGTCTAAAGGAGATAAGTTTAGCGGTTACGCAAAGCTCCTGGGACACCTACCACTGTTTCACAATGTAACGGTAACTGCTTTTTATCATACCACCATCTAAACAACCTTTCTAGCATGGTAGAACTCCAAGGAACATAGGCTTTACCTAGCCTAGCCCTTTGGGTTATAGTAATAAGCAAGCCCGGTCACTACGTCAAGATAGCAGCTATCGCTTTGGCTATCTCTTGCAACAACGGAACACCTACAGAATATTACACGTATAGTACGAAAACGTTTTCCTCTGTAGATGACAGAAAAAACTAGGCAGGTGCTCGAATGACAGCATCATGGAAGGGAAACTCCACGATTAAAAGCAGAGACATTGAGCTTCTTTGTGTGAAGGAACTGACATCTTTTGGTGCCACATTACAACTTATATCTGACTCCAACCTTTATATTGAGGTTCTAGAAATACTGCCGCTTTTCTTAACATCTCAAGCACTGATGATCCATATGCATCAAAAAGTATGAAGACAGGAGACAATATGACGTTGTATTGGCGACAAAACAGAAGGTTCAAATATGACAAGATGACAATCGAATGTTCAATATCGAGACAAGTAAATAACTAGTGAATTACAGGGTCGATGTTAAATATATCAACGAATACAATATGGAATGCCTTCGACAATATCACCACCGTACGACTAACACCATACAGCGTTCCTTATTGTCTCAGAGACCGCCCCAAGAGTAAGAAGAAACCATTCTAACTCCACTCCGAAGAATATGTCGTTTCCATAAACGTGCAAATGATAACCAACTAATATATTACGAAGCTTTCTCATCAAGAAGTCTTCACAAACTATATATGAATGGTTTTATAATTGGGAACAGCGTGAAATGCCCACTTTAATACTGCTCATATCTGTATCAGAAACCGCACATCAGACATCTGAAAGTGTTCTATGACTTGTCCTTTGTTCAAAAACTGGGTAGCAATCACCTACCATTTATAAAGGTACAT